ATTATTATACTAGGGAAATAAAAATGCAGTGCATTACCGCCATTGTTAAGTGCAGGGGTCCCAACAATGGGCTACCTGCTGTGTATTGTGCGCCAAGTCGGCACTTTGCGAGTCAATATTTTGGGTGACTTTTACTCTCTTCAGATGTTTTCAACCTTTGCAACGTAAGCGAACAACTGCGCACCTTTGGACGCTCTTTGCATTTCATTGATTACGCTTTTGTTTTTTTTTTATTTTGAATTTCGAACTCAATCGCGAAATTGAAGTGCCGTATGTTTTCCGTCTTTTGTTTTTTTTTAATAATTTAGCTGTGTAATACAATAGGAATTTTGATAATGGACATTGATGATCTTTTTTATTGTGTCCCAATAAAAATAATGTGTGTAGGTATGTCTTTATTACCCTAAAATTCATGTAATGTGTAATTTTTATTTTACAGCCATTCAGTAGGTTTTATGTTTGTTTAAAAAATTGAGAATTTTAGCTGCATTATTTACATACAGGCAATTAATTGCTTAGACAAATACAGATGATAATCTGTATATTTGACGAACACGACAAGAATAAGAACATTCAATGTATAACTTTGATTTATTAACAAAAAAAAAATTAAATGTTTAGACTAAATAGAGTTCTGTCGTTAGCACTTCTGTATGTGTATGTTAGTACTTCTGTCGATTTCAATTTAAATTATTGTAATAATATTTTATAAATATCTACAACAATTAGAAAATACCACCGTCCTATATTATGAGACAGCACGTTTTAAAGTACATATAGCTAACACTTTCTCTTGATACGAATATAACGTACCTACCTATGGAACATTACAATAAAATAACATGATGTGCGATCAAAAAGACAGATAAACGATCAAAAATGCTAAAACTAAATACCTAATTAATTTTCAAATTGCAGTGAATATAATAGTACCTATTCTTAGTATTATTTATTGAATCACCACCACGAAGTCAAAACATGTCATATATAATAGAATTACTTATGGAATGCAAGTTTAAATTTCATTTATTACACCATAAATTATTTCCCATAGACAAAATCGAAGTACAATACAGAAAATTCTTCGTAATAATTGGAATAATAGCAACCGCACAACGCCCCATGTTACAACGCCTCCTGAAAAAAAAAATATTCCCGCCCAATCTTAAGACAGCGCGAGTCAACACTTAATTCGTGTTATTCCCACGATATGAAATTTAAATTTAATTGTATAATACAATCAAAGAAATGGGTCAATATAAGCTTATAAAAGTATTGTTTGATTGAGAGTTATAGGCAGTTTGTCAATAGTGGAGCCGCGGGGTGCGTTATTATTGTTTATTGACGTCTAAGGTGTTTGGGGCCCGTACTGGCGTACAATCACTATTCGGAGTCGTTTGAGAGTGAAATGATATGCAACCGTTTATTAGGCGCTTTCTCATGAGTGTGTTGAAGTATGAATTCGTCTTCGAAGACTAATTAAGTCTCGACGTTTGTAATGTGTTTATTTGGTAAGCGTTTGTTGTTTAATTTACGAATTAACCTTTAATTTTTATTTATGAATAATATGTGAATTGAATGTTCTATTAACTTCTCAGAGTTCTTGTAATTAAAAAAAATATTTATCAGTAATAAATAAAGTCGGGATTTTTATTGTTAGCGAAAACGGCTTTAATTTAATGAATGACATTTCTAGCCGTCTTTTTATCCATATTTTATTTAAAAAAAATAAAGGTATTTAATGCCGTATTTGAAAACTCCGAATTGCAAAAAATCAGCTACTGGTATTAAAACAGAATTAAACCTAACCCATCCACACAAAAACATGTCATTTATGTGCAATCGTGTAAGAAACGATTGTTAAAAAATATGAAAGAAAATGAATTCACGTGTACATATAAACAAATTAAAGGGTTATTTAGTAATTGGTGAATTAAGCCAGCACAATCAGGGAAACGAGTCAATGGGCGTATAAATCGAATTAGGACCGTTTACAGGTTTGTGTGGACTTTTTTCAACGCAGACGTTTTTTACACATGGTCACACTGCACGGCTCGCTTGTTGTCTATGTGTGGTGAAAGCCTTGTTTACAAAACAATTATACATAATGATGTATTGCTAATATTATTTTTATTATTTGAAAATGTTTTGTTAGATTTTTTTTCATTGAATATTATAAATAGACAGGAACACAATTGTATGTATGGAATTATAGTTAGTTCATTTCCGAAAAATATAAAATAAAAAAGAAATGAGAATTAAAACAGATAACTTTGTTTTATATTATTATAAGAACAAGTAAATTAACTATCCAGTATTATAGATATTTAATAAAGATAATTGCAAAACATTTAATTATCGCGACCCATTGACTGTTAACTCTGCTGTCGCTCAGTAGCTTGTTAAAAATTTCCATTTCATTTTGTTTTCAAACTGGCAACATCGCAACCCTTCCAAGGAATCATTTTTCTAACTGAATGATACTTAGATCGAAGAGTTTTAATTAGGTTGTTATAATTTTCTCATTGAACAATTTTATCGTTTATTAGTTTTACCGGATGTTTTTTGATGTAATTTTATTGCTAAAGAAAGGCTTTTATTTGAAATTTGCTTTGAAACAGTAAATATGATATCGAATTAAAGCAAGGTACAACATCAAGGTTTCTTATAATCTCGTTTTCTCATGTAGATACCGATAAAGACCAACCGTAAGTAATATTTTAACTGAGATGGTAAAAGTCAACTAGCATAATAATTAAATAAGATCACAATAAGACTGTCAACGATGGGGATCATAGAAAAAATTAAAAATGTAACGTATTTCGAACGTGCCGCGCTTTCTCGGTCCATCGGGCTTCATGGCAGCTGCCACTCAGCGCTCGGGCCGGACCACACCGGTGGGTATCGGGTTCCCATCTATCGTCTTACTTCGCCTTCCTGCCCGTATCTAAGTTACGCGCTACGTCCGTTTGCCGTCAATGACAGTTGGTAGGTAGACATTTTTGGTTTTCCTCGAGACTGGGTGGCCTATCGGTTAACACTCAATCGTCTTGTAAATACCTATATTGAGTTACATTTGATATGTACGTTGATTAAATGCCTTTTTACAAATATCTAAATTAATAATATGATCAATTAAAAACTCTACGATATATTATGTATTTTATATTTATTCGTAATTTTTCTAGATACTAGGTTTCATTTTTTCATATTATATGTAGGATAAGGTTAATTATAATACAATCTATTCTATCTATTCTTAAAAATTAAACCTTTAATTATTTAGTTTCTATGGCTTTTCTTGCGCGATAACTATTTTCTTTCTACACCATATTCTCGTATCGATCTACCTACACTCAAAATGATCTTACAATTATATATAATTTATTCTATAAATATTATGCGAGTATATTAATGCCATATATGTTAAGAAAAAATAATTTATATGCCATTAGCAACTCACTCTCACTTCACTCGGGTTCGTCTCTAGGTACGTTTTAATTTTTTTGAGCGGAACCCTAATTCTTTTTCTAAAATAAAAGTAGCCTATGTTACTACATATAACATCAGCTATCTTCCAGTGAAAGTCCCGTCAAAATTAGTCCAACCGTTTCAGAGATTATCCGGAACAAGTACACAGACAAAAATTAAAAAAATGTGTTTTTCTTATAAGAACCATATATAATTTCATATGCTTTTAGTAAAACTCTGCTATTTTGACATCATAAACAGACACTTCAATTTTATTTATCTGTATAGATAAACCCAAATATACCGTGAGGGAAGGTCTCTCAGGTTCTGAAAGAGTTTCTTGCATACTCATTCCACACGTTTTCATTTATAAACTTTATTTTACAATAATAACTATAAAACATATTACAAATAAGTTTATCTATACTAATATTATAAAGAGACTAGCGACTCACCCTCGCTCCGCTCGGGTTCGTCCCTGGGGTGGGGTCTGGGAGGACCACCCTTATCCTTATCACTTAGGGGTATGAAAAATAGATAGTAGCCGATTCTCAGACCTATTGAATACGCATATAAAATTTGGTAAAAATCGGTAAAGCCGTTTCGGAGGAGTACGGTAACAAACATTGTGACATGGAAATTTTATATATAAGATAAAGTTTGTTAGTTTGTGACGTTGCAGGGGGTAATCTAAGGGTCTACCGAACCGATTGAGATGAAATTTGGTAAGAAGATAGTTTGAGACCCTGGAAAGGACATAGGATACTTTTTATCCCGGAAATCATCCCTTAAGGAGGTGAAAATGGGGATGAAAGTTTGTATGGGGAATCAAGCTAAGGATGAACCCGAGCGAAGCGAGGACGACTCGCTAGTATATAAATAAAAATGATAAGTATCTACAAAATAACATTTTAAAAACACTAAAATAAATACAAATTATAAGCTTTGATACATTCAAAGATTGATGATCCTTAAAGCGTAGTTATCAATTCGTTGCACGCCTCTCTGATCGCATGTCGTCAACTTCCAGCACTTATCGAACATCGATATTGTATCGCATAACAATTTTATTTTATAAATACTTAAATTATTCTACATATTATTAATCAAATAAAATCGCACATTTAAGCACTTTAAAATTTAAATTAATAATTTTTGTAAGAGATTAATGAGTCAATTATTTTCGGAAATAACGATAGTTGCTTATAGTTTAACTTACTTAACAGAACCTACTTATTATGTTCTTCCCTGATACTTTAATCTATACCTTTACAGTTACTTTATCGGTCGAAGTTAATTCTGCGATTTGACGACAGATAATCTACTCGCCACCAATAGATAAATCAAAATATACCTATAAGTCATAGTAACAATTTTCTACAGCTATTTATTGAATAGCATCAAACACAAAAACTAGATAAAACTTCGAAAAACCTTGTAAAATAAAATTTTCGGTACCATATTAAATTAATTTATTAATTTTATATTTCATAGCCTTGCAATTGAGTAAACCTATTATTTATTAACAGGTATCATCAATAAACCGAGTACTTCGTAATTTAGCAGCACAGAAAGAAAAGTCAAGCAATCAGCAATCCGACTGTTCTACTCCTGTATACGAAAGGTTACGATTGCTTGGTAGCGCCGGGTCTACTCCAGCATGGCCAAGGACACCCTGGCCTTCGCAGATAGACACCAGGACCCCACCCTACCAGCTCCATAGCTTGAGTCCAGGGCCACAAGCTATAGGATGCAACGGCACGGATCTCCCGGTGTTAAAAAAAGGTAAGATTTTGCAAATTGTTGGAACTTAAAATATATATCTACACAGAGTTCAGGCTTTAATGAGAATATTTTTGTGTGATCTTCCACAGATGGTCGTTAAGTTATTTATTGCTTCTCATCTTTCGTCGAAATGTGACATAAACAAAAAGAATGATATTTAAACACTAATTCGAACTTAGCGGTTTGTCATTTTACGTAATATAATGTGTGCTAGATTGTAGAGTATTTTCTAATTATTCGATGATAATGCCACATAATTCACTAGCGAGAAACAAATGATTGGAAAGATTTCCTCTTATTTTCGAATTTTCTTTGGTTTCATATCAGTAAAATTATCCTATCACTATATGAGTACATAATAATTCATTGAGTTCAAGTTCAAACATAGCATTTTAAAAACAGGACTTCATCCATCTATTCATATGCACGTAGGTACAAAACGTAGAAAGCGCAAAAAAACTTTATGGAAACTCATAACCACTGACCGCAGACGCGAATAATTAAAAAAAACCGACAAAAAGGGCAGAGCATCCAACGGTCACAGTCTGGAAACAACTTTTTTCCCAACCGGCATTTTGATAGTCGATTTGCGGCACCCCCGGGGGCGGGGTGGCCTCCGGTACCGTCAAAAACATTACTCTGTTCATCCGCTTGGAAGATTTAATTTTCATTTTTATCTGAAACATCCCCCTTTGTAGTGGTCTGTAGTCTGTATCCAATTAGGTGGCTTTGAACATTTTTCTGGAACTCCCCAAGGCTTGGAGTTATGGAATTTTTAATTTCGATACTCATTGAAGATTTCTTGAATTTATAAGTAAGGAACGAATTGTGAAGAATCAATATATTTAGCTGGTTTATCCAGTTAAAACCCAGACAAACTACATTTACGAAAAAAACATTAGAAAAGACAATTCTTATACGAAATAATTCAAAATATTAAAATCTGATAAGCTAGAAGTATCAGTCCTGTAAGTACTTCACTCTGTCGTGAATAATGCAATAAATTGATATTTTACCTAGAAAGAATAATTTTTTAACTTTGAGAATTTTTTACTAAATATTCTTTATATATTTGAAATAATGCAAACTTCGTTAATATAAAACATATTTTAAAACTTCTTTTATATAAAAAATTTAACTATCAATAGTAATATAAGAATAACCGCACAACCTGTCATGAGGCGAACCGTGAAAGTAACCGGCAAATTGGTAATGTGATATCACGCTGAATCGATGACTTACACCTTACTTGCTTATATTATATCTATATATACTAGAAGATGGTCGATTTTCTTACACACAATTGTATTATCTTTAACATTAAAAAAGTTCATTTAATACTAAAAATATTTTACAGATAATTGTAAAGTATTCATAGTAATAATATTATGAATACTTTTATTCATGTATATATATATATATATATATATATATATATATATATATATATATATATATATATATATATATACAAAAGAATTCATAATAATAATATTATGAATACTTATTATCTCAAAAACGCAATTAAAAATAGTAAAAATACAAAATCACTTACATTTTCAAATCAAAAAAGTTACTAAATAAGTACAAAATCCACCGAATTTAACAATTTTCACAACTGTACATTTAATAAATTAAAGAAGTAAGCTTTAAAACGACATGAGATATGGCATTAGTATAATATACCTTTATACACTACCTTATTTCTTAGCTTCGATTTAACCCTTAGCAAAAATAATAATTTGCCCATCATCATCCCACATAGTATACCACCTTCGTATACACTACATCTTATAACTTAACAGGTTCATCTTATTTCTCGTTTATTTCAACTTTCGCTCTCATTCTCGACAGAGCAATGACACAGGTCTCATCTATACATACTCGTAAAATAAAGTTCTAACTAAGCCGAATCTGTACATAAAATATTTTTGTGGAAAATCTTATTGAAATTATTCATTATTATCGATACAGAGGCCGAATCTGTAGTTTTTAGAATGTTTATCTGTCTCTCTGTCTACGACCGCATCACGAAAAAATCACTGGAGTGATTTTGATGAAGTTTAGTATGATGATAGCTGGTTATCCGGGTCAACATAAAGGATACTAAGTAACTAGTTAATAAATATTTTTTTACTTTCTTTTTAATTTAAAGCTTGTTAATGCTTTACGGGAAATAAACTATTTTACTTTCATTTATTTGTAGGTACATCTAATAATAATACATCATAAAAATGAAACCTCTATTATATACTTTTATTAATAAAATTAATCCAATAAACTGGACATAATTTCTAACACGAAATTTCAAATAATTTAAGCGCTAGACATAAAATAAAATTTATATCTACAGCCAAAGAGGTCAAATCAATATAATCAACAGATTCGCCAAACAAAAAGACAAGGTCAAAGAACGGCACTTCAGAATAAATCCATTAAGGCACTAAATAAAACGTACTGTATAAAGGGAGACTGCGTTGAGATAAATGCTAGGAAACAGAGATGGACATATATGGGATTGAGAACGCCAGAAAGAGAAATAAAATCGTCTGGTTCCTTAAGATAAGGCGAAGAAAAATGTCACAAGATATTTATTCGGGTAGATAAATGGTTATTATGGGGTTCCGTAGTAGTAAATTAGTGAGATGTATTGTTTGTTGAATATGTATCGTGGTTGACCGCCGCGTTTGGGGGCGTGCTAAATGGTCAGCTTAGTGGCAATGAAGCTAAACTTCAAGTTTCAGGTGACCAAATGATGTGATATATTGGCTTTTTAATATCAATAACCATTACTGATAACCATGATTTTGATATTAGAATAGTACTTTGTGATGATTATTGTCATTTTACTGTAGTAAAGCTATAAAATTAGATTTTAAGTAACAGATGAAAAAATTGTTGTATTCTCTTCTTCTTATTTTCTCAAATACCTAGATACGTTCAACGCTGTATAACGTACAGTTGGTCTAATTTCTTCATTTTCTTAATTCATTTTATACAAACATGTAATGAATTGTAATAGTAATTTAAAAAAAAACCTTTATAATATTTTCTTTATTTAGAACTCTAAAGGAATAAAATAAAATATGCTCTACAACAATCTATTACCACATACATATTTATATTATAGAAATAAAAAAAACAGTAAAAGAACATTTAAAAAAACTTTCCTCTTATACATATAAAATTCTCGTAACAATATAAGAAAATCCCAGGGAATAGGAGTGCCTACTGTATAATATGTTATATAACTTTAGCACGAGTAGCGCCCGTAGCCGTAGCCAGGAAAAACAAATGCCATCGAATTTCCATATCGACACGTTGCCAGCGACAAACTGACAGGCGAATATTTTATTTGTGTATATCACTACGTAACTCATGCCCAACACCCACTTGAATATAAAATGCCGCATAATATACCTATGATTTTTGTTCTTACACTGTTTTAGTTTACGGAATAGTAATAGTTGGCTGTGAGAGAGAATTGTACTCAGTGAGTACAGTATTTCAATATATTTTGTATTTTAACACATAATTATATTAAAAAAAACTTTTTCATGACCAAAACCTTATATATGAACTATTTACGAGGTAATATAACGTAGATATAAAACGTATATACGACGTCATATACTACGTGTCCTACTATTATTATAAATGCAAAAGTTTGTGAGGATGTATGGATGTCTGGATGTATAGATATGTGGACGTTTGTTACTCTTTCACGCAAAAACTACTAAATAGATTTTAATGAAACTTTACAATAATGTAGCTCATACATCAGAATAGCACATAGGCTACTTATCATCCCGGAAAAATGCACAGTTCCCGTGGGAAAGATTTGTTTTTGTATTTCTAGAGGCAAACCCGAGCGAAGCGAGTGTGAGCCGCCTTTTTAAAATAAGTTAAACGCAAAATATGTATGTACTATGAACGATAGCTAGGTAATATTCAATATGTCTCCATGGCTTATAAAATATTGTCGATATTTTAGTAATAAAAAAAAATATAAAATTCTATCAAACGTCATAAATCATACACCTATACACATTGTAGATACTATATAGAGACAATACCATAATTCCATTACTGAATTAACATCAATAATTATCCTACCAATATAGAATATAACACATTTATAATCCAAATACAGATATATAACGTTATGTGAACACAAGGCCAGAATCCCATGTACACATACGTCGGCAAGCTCAAAGTGCGGCAGGCGGTTCTAACCCTTTGATCTACCGCTCGTACGGAGCTATATACAGCCCTTCTATTTCGGTATACCGTCTTAGCTATATTTGTTTCAAGGTATGTTTAATATGAATGGTTTTTATAGGATTAAATTTCTGATATGTTCAGGCTGAAGCGTAATAAACCGAACAAGGTTGACTATAAAAGGATTTCCAACGCTCACTTAGGTGGTGTTTATAGCTTTAGTTTGAATATACACTATAGTATTAATGTGAAATTTCACAATGCTTTTCATATATGGCTCAATTTTTATGTACCTATTTCAGTACCTATAAAAAAAAATTAATCAAAAAGTTTTCATAGTGTTAAATCATTAGACACAAAGAGCGTTAAAAGTTATTAGTACTATTTCAATAGCAGTATTCATGGTATATTATTATCAATGCGGAAGACAAAGGAAGAGGCTGCTCACAAGTGGAGCCAAGGCGCGAGTTACCAATACACTCAAAAATAGTTAACATCATTTTGCATAATTATATAAATTGATTTTTAAACAACCGTTAATTATCTGCGTACATACTTAAACAAAACCACAGCCAAACGACATAACTGAAAGCTCAAACAAAGGACCGGATAGACAAATCCTCTGTTACGGGACGAGAGCCCCATACAAACCCGCACACGCAAAATAGCAATTAAATTCGCCTTCATTACCTAACACCCTTTCAGGAATATACATTCAACAAATTATGGTGCGCGATTTCATATCATTTCAAAATACCATTATATTTAAATATCCTTAG